CCATACGAGCATCTCTATAGAAGCAGGAAAAATTAATAGAATTCAGCATAACTTTATTATAAAAAGTCTTTTAAAACTAAGCATAGAAGAAACATACCTCAAAGTGATAAAAACCATATATAACAAGCCCATAGTCAACCTTATACTGAATGGGGAAAAGTTGAAAGCATTCTTTCTAAGAACTGAAACAAGACAAAAATGCCCATTTTCAATACTCCTTTTCAACGTAATACTGGCAGTTGTAGCCGGGGACGTCAGGCAAGAGAAAGAAGTAAAATGCATCTAAATTGAACCATGCTTTTTCTAACAGAAATGAGAAATACTGAAGAGTTTTATACAAGGGAGTGATTAGAGCAGATTTCTGTTTTTCATGGGTTTTTAAATCTAGAGATAGGGTCTTGCTCTGTTGCCCAGGCGGGAGTGCAGTAGTGTGATCATAGCTCACTGCAGTCTCAAACTTCCGGCCTCAAGTGATCTTTCTGCCTCAGCCTCTCAAGTAGCTGGGACTACAGGCACATGCCACTACACCCTGCTAATTTTTAAATTTTTTCTAGGAATAGGGTCTTGCCATGTTGCCCAGGCTGGTCTTAAACTCCTGAGCTCAAGTGACTCTCCCATTTTAACCTCCCAAAGTGCTGGATTACAGGCATAAGCCACTGCACTGGCCCAGATTTCCATTTTTAAAAGAGCATGTAATCGTCTGGGCGCCGTGGCTCACGCCTGTGGTCTCATCCCTTTGAGAGGCTGAGGCAGGTGGAGATCGTGCCATTGTACTTCAGCCTGGGCAACAAGAGCCAAAGTCCGTCTCAAACAAACAAACAAAAAATCATGTGATGATGCCATTTATGTTATTTTTAACAATATGTATATATATGCTCTCAGGAAACTAGGAATAGAGGAGAATTTCCTCAACTTGGTGAAGAAAATTTACAAAGAAACTAACATCATACTTAATGATGAGTGTTATAGATTGAACTGAGTCCCCTCTAAATTCACATGCCAAGTCCTAATCCCTAGCACTTCTGAATGTGACTGTATTTGGGGATAGAGTTGTTAAAGAAATAATTATGTTAAATTGAGGTCATTAAGATGGGCCCCAGTCTAATACAATTAGTGTCATAAAAAGAGGAAATTAGGACACAGAGAAGTACCGAGAGAAGGTCATGAGAAGACATAGGGAGAAGCCAGCCATCTACAAGCCACGGAGAGAGACCTCAGAAGAAACCAACCCTTCTGACACCTTGATTTCAAATTTCTAGCCTTCAGTATTGGGAGAAAACAAATTTCTGTTGTTTAAGTCAAAAAAAAAAAAAAAAGAAAAGAAAAATAAGTCAAATTATTTCTGTTTGCTGATGATATGACCTTATACACAGAAAATTTTAAAGATTCTACCCAAAAGACTCCTAGATTTGATAAGTGAATTCAGTAAAGTTTCAGGATACAAAATCAATGTACAAAAATTAGTAGCATTTCTATTTACCAGTAATAATCAAGCTTAGAGTCAAATCAAGTAGTCAGTTTGTTAGCATTTACAGTAGCTATAAAAATGAAATACCTGGAATGCATTTAACCAAGGAAGTAAAAAATACCTACAAGGAAAACTATCAAACACTGATTATAGGAATTTGAGATGACACAAATAAATTGAAAAACATGTTATGCTCTTGAGACAGAGGAATGAACATCATTAAAATGGCTATATTATCTAAAGCAATCTACAGATTCATTTCAATTCTCATCAAAATACCAATGTAATTTTTCACAGAATTAGAAAAAATCATAAAATTCATATGGAACCACCAAAGAGCTTGCATAGCCAAAGCAATCCTGTGCAAAAGGAACTAAGTTGGGTGCATCACATTATCTAATTTCAAATTATACTACAAAGCTATAGAAACTACAACAGCGTGGTATTAGCATAAAAATAGACACATAGATCAAAAGAACAGAAGAGAGAACACAGAAATTAAGCCACATACCTGCAGCGAACTGGTCTTTGATAAAGTCAACAAAAGATAGACTCTGAAAAGGACATCGTAATCAAAAAGGGTTCTTGGAAAATTGAGAGGCCGTACACAGAAGAATAAATCTGGACCTGTATCTCTCACCATATACAAAAATTTTCACAAATGTATTAAAGGCTTAAATGTAAGACCAAAACTACAAAAATACAGGAAGAAAACAAGAAACAGTATTCTGAACATCAGTTTTGGCTAAGATATCATGATAAAGACCTTAAAAACAAATGCACAATACCAAAAATAGACAAATGGGACTTAATTAAACTAAAGTGCTTCTTTACAACAAGAGAAATTATCAACAAAATAAACAGACAACGTACAGAATGGGATAAAATATTTACAAACAATACATCCAATAAAATATTAATAACTAGGTTCCACAAAGAACTTAGACATCTCAACAACAAAAAAATAATTCTGCTAAAATGTGGGCAAATGGCATAAACAGGCTTTTTCAAAAGAAGACATACAAATGGCCAACAAACGTATAAAAAACTGCTTAACATTGCTAATCAATGAAATGCAAATTAAAATTTTGATTAGCTATTATATTACACCACAGTAGCTATTATTCAAAAGTCAAAAAATAACAGATTTGGGAGAGTGTGGAGAAAAAAGGAAGCACTCATAAGCTTTAGTAGGAATATTAACGAGTATAACTTATAATGAATACAGTAGGTAGAGTTCTCAAAGAATTAAAAATAGAATTACCATTCTATGCAACAATTCCACTACTGGTTATCTACCCAAAAGGAAATAAATTTTATACAAAAGGGTACCTACACTCATGTGTTTATAGCAGCATTGTTCACAACAGAAAATATATAGAATCAACTAAAGTGTCAATCAATGGATTATTGGATAAAGAAAATGTGGTGTATATATACAATGGATTGCACTCAGCCGTTAAAAAAGAGAATAAAGTCATTTTTCTTCTCCAGTAACATCGATGAAACTAGAGGCCATTATCTTGAGTGAATGGTTCGGAAACAGAAAGGCAAATACCACATGTTTTCACTTATAAGTGAAAGCTAAATAATGTATAGAACTGGACATAAGGAGTAAAATAATAGACATTGGAGATTCAAAAGGATGCGAGGGATCAGAGGGGGATGAAGGATGAACAATTACTTAGTGGATACAACGTACATTATTAGGTTGATGGCTACACTGAAACCCTAGACTTCACCATTATGCAATATATCCATGTAACAAAAATACTTCCTCCTAAATTATAAATATTAAAACAAAAACACAAACACCTCTTTTGTTCACCTGACCTCCATAAGCCACTATTCTAACTATAGACTATAGTGTCATTTTAGGTCTCCTGGCATTAGTATCAGTTCAGAACTTATGTACAATATTCTCCAAAACTTCTGATTATTTTTCCCTAATTCTTCCATGCCAAAGATTGACATTATATGTTGTTGGGCATGTGGTGAGACCCATTCTTCCCTTCATTCAAGGGGTGTGAGTCTGTAAACTGGCTCAAGCGTGGGAATTGATTGAAGGGCCATGACTCTGTTTTGTGTTACAAGCTAGAATTTTGATCAATTGACCTAGAACTCCTCTGCTTATACAGATTTAGTAATAATATAATGGACTTATTATCTGTCTCACTACTAGAAACGTGCTTAACTAACCAATGTCATAGGTCTGTATCAGTCAGATTATTCTGATTGCTGCTTTGACTCTTCTGCTTACCTAGTTTTTGTCAGTTAAGTGCTGTCACTTGGCCCCTGCCACTTGGGAATCCAATTATTTCTATTAAATTTATTTTATTAGTTCAATGCTATCAATCCTTCTTGCAATTTCTGACCTACAGAGAAAAATGATCTTCAAAGATGATAGGGTTCCCACAAAAATTTATTTCTCATAATTGTGGCTAAGAATTGTTCCCAGTAACCCCCCAAGGTGGGGGAGAAGGTCTTAAATGATATATATCCCTAAGAATTTGGATTCTTTCCTCTACAGTAGGTCAAGGCAGGACTGGAATTTCAACTTCATTTAGTGTAGGACACCTTTTCGTCTATGTTTTTCTAAACTTTTTTTAGAGTTTTTCTGACACGCTGAGCTACAACACTAAATCCAGACTCTCTCCTTTTTTGAGCCTATATCAATATATTTGGCCTGTTTCAGGTTTGTGTTTCTTCCACGATTATCCATACTTTTAATATCCATTGTCATGCATATTCCCTGGATTTATGTCTATATAAATTAGAAAAAAAAAAAACGTGACCTGATGAGACTTGAGTCTAGTTATAGGTCTAGAAGCAAAGAAGGGTGGTCTGGTGGGTCCTAACAATGATCAGCAGTGTCTTACTTCTGCTTCTTCTCAGAGCTTAAGTTGTAGTTTATTTCCATGCATATAATCTCTTGCTCACAGGTACCCAGATATCTGCAGTAACCCAGCAATTCATTTGTGCAATAGCTTTCACCACTGCTTTAAGCATTTTCCAACCTACAGTTTACACTATACTGAATTCTAGTCAGTATTCCAAGTCAGAAAAGACAAACCAGTTCCTCAGACTGTCCCCAGGGAGGCTAGAACTTTACAAGCAAGTTCCATTAATATTCTTCCATTCCAATGGAGGAACAAATAATATGATGGATTCTTTCAGACACTCAGTGCTGTGTCAGAGAGGCAGTGGGACAAGGACAAGCAGAAATGACATGAAATTTTCTAGCATTTTGAGTGTAGCTTTTTGTGTTTTTTTGTTTTGTTTGTTTGTTTTTGGCATTTCCGTGGTTGCTTCTTAGCTTGTTTCTAGAGTTCTCACAAAACTACTTTGCTCTATATCTGGTGGGGTATTTTTGTTTGTTTGTTTTTGTTTTGTTTTGTTTTGTGTTTTTTGGTGTTTCCATGGGGCAATGAGGGCCTAGAGCTTTCTGGTCTGCTATCTTGCTGATGTCACTCTTCAGTAGTATCTCCTCTTCTCATCATGCTTGTCTATTTTTATATCTTTCTTTTATAAGGTTGTGGTTCACCTTGAAACTATTCTAGGAGCCTCAGTTCAACATGTTAAATTGAAGAAAATGAAGTACTCTTTTCAGTTGTGGATCGCAATGATGTCAGCAAAGGGACATGATGGGAAGGTATGTTTGCCTCTTCCTTTCCTTACTTTATTCTTTGTGTAAACATTTATTGAGCTTCTATTGTGGGCCATATGTTAGAGGTGTAGGGAAAAGAAACTCCTGAAAAAATAAGTAAAATAGTAAAATATTTAAAGAAAGCACAGTTTGGTGAATGCTTTGCTAGCATAAGCATATATGGTTGTGTGATCACACAGAGTGTGCCCATTCCTATATGGAAGTCAATGAAGGCTTCTTGATGGAGGAGTTGCAGTCTCCCAAATCTTGAGTGATTTGGAAACCTTAGCCAGGTAGAGAAGAGATAAAGATTATGCCAGGCAGAGGGGAAACCACAGCATGAACAAGGATATAGGGGAATGAGGTATGTTGTGTTCTGGGTACGGAGAACATGTAAGTTTCAATAAAGCATAAAGTGATTAGGTAACTTCAGTTGTCAAGTTCTTTAAAAATGAACAATTTGAGAAATATAAGATAAATTGAACATTCTGGAGAATTTAACTTTTGTGAATATAGGAATGTTTTCTGCCAATGGGAATATTTGTGTTAGAGCATGACACATCCAAATTTGAAGTGCAGGCTACCTCCTAGTTTTGTTATCTTGGGCAAGTTACTTAGCTATTCTGCAGTTTACTCATACATAAAGTTAAGCTATTGATACCTATGTTACAGATTTATTTTGTGGATTAACAATATTTTTATAAGGTATCTCACGTAGAGTAGCCCTTCCATAAGGCAGAACTCACACGAGCCCCTCTACCTTAAAAAAATAGTTACTTTTAAAATTTTTTAAAATAGACAGTTTTCTTTGTAGAAACACTTTGGAAATCTCTCAGAACAAAACGTTTATAAAAATTCACAAGGTGAGGATGTTTGGCTCTGAGATGAAAGTTTATAATCAGAACTTTAGATCAAAACTATAGCTGAAATCAAAAGCAAAAAGTTTATTTTGAGTTCACTTCCAGAAGACACTGTCTTATAATTTGGATAAACTGTTAACATACATGCTGACTGTCAAAACTGGTCCTGTAATTACAAATCTGGAAAAAAAAGAGAAGGGAAAAATCTGTTCTCCTTTTACTTTGAATCATGATTGCAGATTTAGAGGTGGTGGTCATAACCACTTTACCATGTTGCTCATTAATAATCACTTAAAATAGGTAGAAAAGAGATGTGGCCATTTTCTAAACCGTACTGTTTAATGTTAATGTAGCTCTTTTTTATTACAGACCTAATTTAAAATTTTTAAATTTTGTGACTATATAATAGTTGTATGTATTTATGGGGTATAGATGTTTTGACACATACATACAATGTGTGATTATGAAATCAGTGTAACTGGAGTATCTGTCAGTTTAAACATTTATTATTTCTTTGTGTTGTAACATTCCAATTCCACTCTCTTAGTTGTTTTATAATATACAACAAAGTACTTTAAACTGTAGTCACCCAATTGTGCTATCAAATACTGGACTTTATTCCTTCTCTTTTTATACTCAATAATCATCCCAACTTCTCTTGCAGTTTCTTTTGCATTTGCACTATAACATTTATTTCTTTCTATACTATTTCTTAGAAATGATTGTAGTTATTATCATAGTCATATATTCAAAAACAAAATTCAACACTCAATAAAAGTAAATTCAAAAATAAGAAGAATCCGCTATTCCCCTGGTTGCTCAGAAATCAGTGTATCGATGCAGAAAGCCTGAAAAAGAAATGTACTATAACACCCTCATATTAACACAATAGACTCTGAGCAAAAGAAATGTTCACAATGCCAGATAAGGAAATCAAAATATTGACTTTAAAGAGGCTTAATGAAATTAAAGTGATTGTTTTGTGTGTGTGTGTGTGTGTGTGTGTGACAGAGTCTCGCTCTGTTGCCTAGGCTAGACTGCAGTGGTGCAATCTTGGCTAACTGCAACCTCTGCTTCCCTTGTTTAAGTGATTCTCCTGCCTGAAACTCCTGAGTAGCTGGGGCTACAAGCACACACCACTATGCTTGACTAATTTTTGTATTTCTAGTGGAGATGGGGTTTCACCATTTTGGCCAGGCTAATCTCAAACTCCTGACCTCAGGTGATCCAATCACGCTGGCTCTCTAAAGTGCTGGGATTACAGGCATGAGCCACCACATCTGGCCCTTAAATGGAAATTTGTAAAGCAATACAAAGAAATTAGAATATCAATTTAGGCTGTTAATATGAAATTACTAAGAGGATAGATTTTCTTAAAAAAAAAAAGTAATAATAACAGACATTTTGGAACTTATAAACTCATTGAAGGGGTTACAAAAACATTCCAAAGACCAAGCAGAAGGAAGACTCTCAAAATGTGAAGACACATCTTTTGAAGTAATCTAGTCAAACAAAAATAAAGACAAATGAACAAAGCCCTTAAGATGAGTGTGCAAAAATAACAATACTTACAATTTGTTGGTATTACTGGCGTAGAAAGAAAGATTTTAAAAAAAGTTTAGAAATCCTATTTAAGAAAATTATTTATAGAAGCATCTCAAGTGCAGCAAGAGATTTAGACACCCAGATATAGTAGTCCCAACAATCCCAAGACAAATACATTGCAAAAAGGCATATTAAATCAGAATACCTAAAGTCATTATAAAAGAAATACTTTTATGATCAGCAAGAAAAATGGATCTAGTCACCTATGAAAGAAACCCCATCAGACTAAGAATGAACTTCTTAGCAGAAACTTCACAGGTCAGAAGAAAATGGAATGGGATTTACAAATTGCTGAAAGAAAAAATATAATTAAAAATTTTATATCCAGCATGATTAACCTTCATAAATGAAGGAGAAATAAAGTCTTTTCCAGACAAGCAATTGTTGAGGGAATTTATCACCACTAGACCAGACCTAAAACAAATGTTCAAAAATGTCCTTGACATGGAAATAAAAGGTATATGTTCATGATTATGATAACTCATTAACATATAAAACTCAATGGTCTTATAAAACAATCACACAAAGGAGGAAGAAAAGTCAAATTGTGAATACAACAAAATTTCACCAAACCATAAAGACAAACAGAGAAAAAGAAACAATGTATAAAACAATTAGAAAAGATTTAATGACCTTACAGAAAATAAACCTCATATATAAATATTAACCTTGACCTCAAATGGATTAAATACTCTACTAAAGAGAGATAGATTGGCAGAAAATATAAGAAACATGATCCATCTAAACGCTGCTTCCAAGAAACTCACCTTCTCTGTAAATACATACATAGACTGAGAGGAAAGGATTGAAAAAAGATATTTTATGGAAGTAGAAACCAAAAAGGAGTAGGAGTAGCTAAATCTATACTAGATATAAGAGATATTAAATTAAAACGTTAAAAAAACAAATTAGGTCAATGCATAATGATAAAAGGATTAATTCAACAGGAGGATATAACATTACTCAGTACATATGCACTCAATACTGGAGCACCCAGATTCATAAAACAAATATTACTATATCTAATAAGAGAGGTGGAAAATAATACAATAATAGTGTGGGGCTTCAACAGCCCACTCACAGCATTAGACATCATTTAGATGGGAAATCAACAAAGAAATATTGAACTTATTTGGACTTTAGGTGCAATAGACCTAACACACCTTGACAGAAAAATCTACTCAACAACTGTGAAATGTACATATTTTTTCACATAAGCACATGGAACATTCTCCAACATAGACCATGTATCACCTTGTATAGACCTTGTATTTTAGGCCACAAAACGAGTCTCAGTGAATTTTTTAACATTAAAAACTTATCAAGAATCTTCTCAGGCCACACTTGAATAAAACTGAATATCACTACCTTTAGAAACTTTGGAAACTATGCAAATACGTGGAAATCAAACATGTTTCTTAATGATTATTGTGTCAATGAAGAAATTAAGGTGGACATTATAACAATTTTTGAAACAAATGAAAAGGAAAACACAACCCATCAAGTTCTGTGGGATACAGAAAAAGGAGTTCCAAGATTCCAAGAGTCCAAGAGGGATGTTCATAGCATTAAATGCCTATGCTAAAAAAGTAGGAACATTACAAATTAACAACCTAACGATGGACTGCCAAGAACTAGAAACACAGAACAAACTAAACCAAAAAACCAAAAATTGACAGAAGAAAATGAGTTAAAAAAAAAAAAATCCTAGTAGAACTAAATAAAATAGAGACCAAAAAGGAAAGGTAAAAATACAAAAGGTCACTGAAACAAGAAGTCTTGGTTCTTAAGAAAGATAAACAAAATAATCCACTCTCCAGATTAATCATGAAAAAAAAAAGAGAGAGATTACAACAAAATCAGAAATGAAAAAAGAGAGATTACAACAAAACCAGAAATGCAAAAGAAGACATTATAAATGACATCACAAAAATACAAAGATTCTTTTTTTTTCATATTTTTATTTTCCATTTACCTTTTTAACTTGAAGTGTATGCTTTTTTTTTATCTGTAGGATCCATTTATTAGGAAATTTAATCATAATTGAATCTTTTAATTTAATTAAAATGTTTTTTCTTTTTCTTTTTTAAATTTTTTTATTTTTATTTTTTATTTTTTAAATTATTATTATACTTTAAGTTCTAGGGTACATGTGCATAATGTGCAGGTTTGTTACATATGTATACTTGTGCCATGTTGCTGTGCTGCACCCATCAACTCGTCAGCACCCATCAACTTGTCATTTACATCAGGTATAACTCCCAATGCAATCCCTCCCCCCTCCCCCCTCCCCGTGATAGGCCCCGGTGTGTGATGTTCCTTAAAAATTATTATTAAAAGCTCTGCTTCCACAAACAAGAAAACCTAGAGGAAATAAATAAATTAATTTCTGGAAATATGCAACCTCCCAAGTTTGAATCAGGAAGGAATAGAAAACCTGAGCAGACCCATAATGAATAGCAACATTGAATCAGTAATAAATAATTTTTAACAAAGTAATCTCAGAACTAAATGGACTTGCAGATGAATTATTCCATACAC